AGCAATCCCCAAAACTATAAATTGGTCAGCTTCATATGCAGTTAAACAGAGTCCTTCCGAGCCTCCATCCGAATTCCTGGATCGACTGAGGGATGTAATGCACCGCAGCACACCGCTGGATCCTGGGTCAGAGGTAGGAATACAACAATTAGTCTCCCTGGTTTTGGGTCAGTCTACAGGGGATATAAGGCGCAAACTTCAGAAATTACGCCCTACAGAGAGTAGGAATTTAGAAATATTGTTGGATGAAGCATGGAGAGTATTTAGTAACAGAGAAGAAGGATACAGGCAAGGGCAAAGGAAATTAATGGCTGTTATCCAGGAAGAAAGAGGAAGAGGGCCTAGACGAGACTTGCCCCAACTGGGTGAGGATCAATGTGCTTTGTGTAAGAAATTCGGTCATTGGAAAAGGGAATGCCCAAGGAACAAGGAGGATCAGAGGGCTCAAACAGGAAGAACGGTAGCCCCTGTGAAGGGAGACTGACGGGAACCTGGGGAATCTACCCTAGCGGATCCACTGGTTATAATTAAGCTAGGGAAAACACAACAAGAGGTAGAATTTTTGGTAGATACAGGAGCAACATACTCAGTTCTGAATCAAGCTTTGATGCCCCTGGGAAATGATTACGTCATGGTGAAAGGAGCGACTGGCCAAAGTGAAAAGGCATATTTTTGTAAACCTTTAGAATATAAATTAGGAAAACAGTGGGGCATTCATAAATTTTTATATATGCCCAACTCCCCAAAGCCACTTCTGGAAAGGGACTTGTTGGAACAATTGAGAGCAAAAATTGTATTCAAAAAGGGAGAAATTACTCTGGAGGTAAAAGATCAGCAATATCTTCAAATATTGAGCCTAACCTTAACCAGTCTCCCCTTAGAAGGAAATATTAACGAGGACATCTTAAACCAAGTGTACCCGGGGGTATGGGCTACCGATGCACCTGGAAGAGCGAAAAGTGCTCCACCTGTTGAAGTTAGGATCAAGGAAGGCCAAAAGCCGGTAAGAATTAAACAATATCCCCTAAAGAAGGAAGACAAAGGAGGAATCCGGCCGGTGATAGAAAAATTTTTGCAGTTGGGATTATTAAAAGAGTGTGAGTCTGAATTCAATACCCCTATATTACCTGTTGGGAAGCCCTATGGGTCGTATCGGGTGGTCCAAGACTTACGGGCAGTGAATAGGATAACTGAAGATCTTTACCCGGTAGTGGCGAACCCATATACCCTGTTGACCGTATTAACACCTGAATTGACTTGGTTTACTGTTTTAGATTTGAAGGATGCTTTCTTTTGCCTCCCTCTCCATGAAGCCAGCCAAAAATTATTTGCATTTGAATGGGAAAACCCCAAGAGTGGTCGAAAGACCCAGCTCACTTGGACGGTGTTGCCACAAGGATTTAAGAATAGTCCTACCATTTTCGGCAATCAGCTTGCGAAAGACTTAGAAACCTGGGAAGCCCAGTCTGAGGAGGGGAAGCTGTTGCAGTATGTGGATGACATCCTGATCGCCACCAAAACAGAGAAAGATTGTATGACGTGGACGGTGATTCTGTTGAATTTCCTGGGACTTCAAGGGTACCGGGTATCCAAGAAAAAGGTACAGGTAATGCAACGCAAAGTGAATTATTTGGGCTATGAAATTAGTGCGGGACAAAGAACTTTGGGACAGGCCCGTAAAGAGGCAATATGTCAAACTCGGAGACCTCAGACAGTAAAAGAGTTACGGACTTTTCTGGGAATGACAGGGTGGTGCCGATTGTGGATCTATAATTATGGATTGCTTGTTAAACCACTGTATGCGTTGACAGCCACTGAGCAGAAACACCTTGAGTGGAACAAGGAGACCGAACGAGCCTTTGAGCTACTGAAAAAGGCTTTGATGTCGGCCCCGGCCTTAGGACTCCCAGATGTGAGTAAGCCATTTCTTCTTTACTCCCACGAGAAGCAGGGCATTGCCCTGGGAATATTAGCACAAAACCTGGGTCCATATCGACAGGCAGTTGCCTACCTCTCTAAGCAGTTAGACATGACTGCAAAAGGTTGGCCTGGATGCCTGCGGGCGGTTGCGGCCGTGATACTGAATATACAGGAAGCCCGAAAGTTTACTCTGGGCCAGAAAATGACTGTTCTGGTGTCTCACACAGTATCAGCAGTACTGGAAGCAAAAGGTGGAAAATTGGCTCTCTCCACAAAGATTCCTGAGATATCAAGCTATATTGGTAGAGCAGGATGACGTGGAGATTGTAGTCACTAACATTGTCAACCCAGCTTCTTTTCTCAGCGGGAACACAGGAGAACTGGTACATCATGACTGTTCGGAAACCATCGAAGCAACATACGCCAGTCGCCCAGACCTGAAAGACAGCCCCATGGAAAACGGGGAAACTTGGTTCACAGACGGAAGCAGTTACGTCCTAAATGGTAATCGACATGCGGGATATGCCATCACCACCAGTCAAGAGGTAATAGAATCAGGGGCTTTGCCCATGAACACCTCCGCACAGAAGGCAGAAACAATTGCTCTAATCCACGCCCTGGAATTGGCCCAGGGCAAAGTTGTGAACATTTATACAGACTCAAAATATGCCTTTGGAGTTGTACACGCACATGGAGCAATTTGGAAGGAGAGAGGACTATTGAGTTCTCAAGGGAAAAATATCAAACACGCAGAAGAAATTCTGAAGTTACTGGAAGCTGTCCAGCTCCCTAAGAAAGTAGCAATTATGCATATTAAAGCACACCAGAAAGTGAGCTCAGGTTTGGAAAAAGGGAATGAGCTGGCGGACAGAGAGGCAAAACAAGTGGCTAAAACAAAGGTAAAAATAGAAGGGGCCTTAATTCCTGATAGGCAGGTTTCCCTAGAAGGTAAGCCAGAATACACTGAGGAAGATCAAAAGCTCATTACAGATTTAGGAGGGTCATATAACGAAGAGGGGTGGGCTCATACCCCAGAGGGAAAGCTAATCATTCCCTCTTGCTTATTATGGCATTTGATACGGGAGGAACATAGGAAAAGACATTGGGGAACAGAGGCTCTGTATAATCATTTGCTAAGAGAAATTGTGGCTAGAAATTTATACACCACAGTGAGACAGGTGACACAACAGTGTGATCTTTGTCTCCAGACTAATCGTAAGAATAACCCCAAGCCGGAAATGGGCCAGATTGGAAAAGGCAATGGGCCTGGACAACAATGGCAAATTGATTTTACAGAACTTCCAAGAAAAGGGGGGTATCGATATTTATTGGTATTAACTGATACCTTTTCAGGTTGGCCAGAGGCATTCCCAACAAGAATGGCTAAAGCTCGGGAGGTAACTAAAATACTGGTACAAGAGATAATACCACGTTTTGGGGTTCCAGCAACCATATCCTCTGACAGAGGACCACATTTTGTCTCAAAACTAGTACAACAAATTAGCCGCCACTTGGGTATAGATTGGCAGCTTCATACTCCATATCACCCCCAGTCGAGTGGTCAAGTGGAAAAAATGAACCACTTAATCAAACAGCAA